TTTTTTATTATAATAATAATAAAATAACTTTTAAAATTTATTCCGTAAAATAGTTATTGTTAGCCAGACCACTATAATTCTTTATACTTGAAAGTATGAGAGTTAGTGTAGAAATCTCATACAGTCCAAAGAACCAGATTTATGAATATGGTCATTCCTGGTACAGGTGGAAACATTGGGGCATGTTCCCTAAAGACACCTGCTGTCCCTGTTCACCTAGCAGTAAGTAGGTACCTGGGTGTTAGCCAACTGGTGTGGGTCACATCCTGGAGGACAATTAACCTAAGTTGCCTGAAATGTTCAGAATAACTAGGGACTTTCTATATAGTATGTCAATGATGTCAGCTAGGTCTGTGTAAGTTGTATCATGTATGTACTTGTAGAAATAAAGATTATTACGTTATTATTATTATTATCCGCAACAGAAAGATGGAGAGAATAGTTTGAGGAACTGTTTAATGCTGATGATGAAAGGGAGGTGAGTGCACATATATCACATATATTCTTCCTTGGCTTTATATATTGTATATTGTGTTTGGTAAATGATATTGTATATTGTGTATTACATGGGCAAGCAGGTCAGCTGATGTCTGTTATAGGAAGCAACTCTGACTTTAATCCATTGAGACAGTGTGAATATTTTTAATAATACTAATCTTTATTTCTACAAGTACATGATACAACTTACAGACCATAGCTGACATCAGTGACATACTGTATAGAAAGCCCCTGGTTATGCAGAGCATTTCGGGTAATTAGATTAATTTTGTCCCCAGGATGCAGCCCACACCAGTCGACTAACACCCAGGACCTACTTACTGCTAGGTGAACAAGGACAGCAGGTGTCTTAAAGAAACGTGCCCCAATGTTTCCACCTGTACAGAGGATCGAACCACAGACCTCAGTGTGTGAACTGAGTGTGTTACCAACTAATAACCAGTCAAGAGCACAATCATTAACTTCCTGGCTGGCATAGCAGGTGTTGGCAGCACAGCTGCCAAGCAGTAAATGTTATTTAATAATTTTTTACTTGTAGCGTGGTGTAGATGGGCAACTTCCTGGAGATGAATCTTCAACTGAAAATACTACATGTCATCTGTTTACTGGTAAGTCTGAAAACAAGCAAATAATACAGTTGTCCCTTCAAATTTATGGAATTAGATTCCTAGCAGTCCTGTGAAATTAGATACTGCAATGCATAATTAGGTTGCAATAAATTTTGTTACAAAATTAAGGTTATTTTGTATGTTTAAAGGACCATATATCTGTGATATATCACTATTCTGTTTAATATTGACATTTAGAAGGACAAAATAGAGAATAGAAATTTGAGCATGGAAAAGCTACTGAGCTCCAATAAACATTGCATAATTGAATTTATTAGGTAATTGCATGTCAGTAAAAACCCAGGATAGAGAAGCCTGTGAATTTGGAGGGACAAATGTATAAGTAAAAAATATTTATTCTACCATATAGTGGATCACTTTGACTCAAGAAATTGTAATAACACGATTGCCAACAAAGCACAGAACGGTTGGGGTTTGAACCCATGGCAGGCAAGTCCTAAAACTCTCAAGCTAGTGTGTTAACCACCTGGCCATGTTTTCAAACCCTATACTTATTCAGTGATTTGATTTCTTATTGGGCCACTTAATTTTTTAACTAAATCAAAGCCAGTCATAGAATCTTTACAAAAATATTCTGTGCATTTCCTGGACTCAAGATGCCATTTAACCCTTAAACTGTCCAAATGTAGATCTACGTTTTTTCAACATTTGAAAGTATGTATGTAAAAAAAGTAGATCTTCTTTTCTTTTTTTACGTCTGAAAAAGTGTAAGAAAACTTTGATCTATTTTTTTTATTTGAAAATATGTAAAAAAACATAGATCTACTTTTGGAGCACTATGCATGTGAACATAGATCTGCTTGGACAGTTTAAGGGTTAAAGTTCAAGTTTTCTTGTGAAATTCCAGTATTAATGCTATTAAAGCCATATTTAAGAAAATAACAGCATAGGTTTCACCAAATCATATTAACGTG